TGTACACCTCGACGGCCGAGAGGAGAAACCCTCTCGGCGCTCTTAGAGTGTACATACCCTCAACGGCCGAGAGGGTTTCCCCTCTTGGCCGTCAAGAATGTGGTCTCGCGGCCAGGAGGAATCCTCCCGGCCGCTGCCGTGGGGTGGGGGTTGATTTGGTTTATCGACCCCCAAACCCTGGTCGGTTTGGGAGGATTGACTCCCAAACCAACCGGGGGTTTTTATTTTTTTTTATTAAATTCTTAGGGAGTTGACTCCCAAACCGGTCAACGGTTTTGGGGGATCAACTTCCTAGTTTCGGGGGTTTCGGGGTTTGGGAGTCGACTCCAATTTTGGGGAGTCGATTAACCAAGCCCCTAAATTAAATGTTTGAATCTAACAGGGGTTCCTTGCATGAGCAAGTGGATGATCAACCCTGATCACAAAGCAGCTTAATTCTGGGGGACCATGTATACACATCTCCTGGTGATTGATAGATTAAAATTTGAGCAGTGCCTCTTCTGGGTTGTCTGCACTCCAACTTTGGAAGTAGAATCATGATTCAGATTCATTCTGTAAATTTCAGCTCAAAAATCAGGTATCAGGTACAGCTTGTGACAACATAGAAAATAAGATACACAATGGGAAAGATATGATTATGTTCTTCAAAACCATGGGAAATGAGATACCTACTTGGAAAGCTTGTATTTTATGTGCCATTTTGGAAAACAGGATACATAGATACTTGAAAAGCTGGTGCACTTGTAACAAATTGGAAAATAAGTTTTGCCCTTGGTAAATGGGTATGATGTGCCACAGCTGGCCAAGTAAGGATTCTCTAGGGGAACTTGTTAATGCATGGACTATCTCTCCAAGACTTTTTACTGGTAATCACAAAGAACGTGTGAGGCCCCCATTTTCATACTGGATCATTCCCTTGGTGAGTGTCTATCCTTATGTAGCTGGTAAATTTTTCATCAATCAATAATCATTTTGACAGTGGTATAAAAACACACCCTATACTCAGATGATCCTATCCCAGGGAAATGATGGATATGTCCAACAGCTTGAAGGGAGTGTTAAAAACTAGGAAGGTTTTATTCATGTACTTTCAGACTGAGAAGGAGTAAGTATTCCTCAAAACTGCACTTTGCATGAGTGCTAAATAGCCAAGTATAGTACCTCCTCAGCAAGCTGTTGTGTATGTGCACCATGTTTCCATTGCTGATTCCTCTATTCAAGTCAATCTTTGCATACTGAATCATCAATCAGGACTCTTCAATTTATTTCAATTGTATATCTACCAGTTATTCAAGCAGTGTTTCCGCTTGAAAAATCTGGAAAATACATACAAACTTCCCAAGTCCACAGTATATTTCTGAAACTACGTCAGTGGCCCTACTTTCCTTCAACCAAATTTGCCTTCTGATATTGAATCAAAAATTGAAGCCATGTGAGGTGGGCTGGATAATATCCATGGGACTTTCTTTTCCTCTTTTGGCTCAATCCTTGGAAAAATAGCCCTGGAAATGATATAGATCTGAGGTAAGCAAAAAAAATACCCAAAATGGCAGTCTTTAGAAAAATGTTGTGGGGCAGTAGAGTTGGTAAATTAGGTTCAATTGGTAGGAATAGTGATAGATAAACTCAGAGATCCCATGGATTGGGGCACAAGGAAGATGAGCTTTTTGATAACCCTGATAGTGGAGCAAAGTCAAAAATCCGCATCATTTTCAATCGTGCCAGTAGTGGAAAATTCCAAAACTTGGTCACCAAAGTCCCTCTATTTCTGGATACAAGTCAGACCAGTGTCACACCACTCCACAAGTGGGAAGTAACTTTGTAAAGCTTGCAGATGATTTTCTATTTTTCAAAGCTTGAGATTATGGATAATTTCCACCTGCAAATTGAAAAGACTCGTGGATTTCAAGGCCATTGACGGTTCACCAATGTGCCATATGTACACGCGGTATGTCTTGAGCCGCAAGACCGAAACAGATGGAGAAGGAAGTGGATGTCTGTGGAATGGTTTGGAATCTTCCTGGATATGTTATCCCCAGTTGAAGGATCGATATCAGGGCTGCGGGGTGGTTTGGTTGCGCAGATATCGATCGATCGAATTCAATCGACATGCATCAAAGTTCGCCCGCCATTCATCAACGGCCAACAAGAAACTCGGCGAGAGCAAAACCCCCAATCAAGCAGCAACAGGTCAACAAGCACAGAACAGATCCCAACCGCATCTTTCAAAGTAAAACACCCCCAACATGTCCCCTCCAGAAATCCTTTGGGCTCAACGAAGCAGCAGCGATGAGCCTACCCAAAACATCATTTACCTGTGAGTCATCTTTACCCCAACATCTCAGTCTCGGTCTGCCGGTTGGATAACTGTACACATATTCTTGATGCCCTCTCTTCTAACACCGGGTTTTCTGTGTCTACTCATAAAAGTACTATCAATGTTCCCGATCTCCAGCCCGGTTACAGCCTGACTTTCCCGACCCCTTCATCGATTTCCTTTACTGGAACTTCAGGGGGCTCGAAAGCCGTCGCCTCAAAGTCGTTCGAAATCGAATCTCTCGAACTCTTTGGAGAGATCGATTTGGAGGCCGACAGGAAAGAAAAACTCACCGGGAAAAGTCTGCAGCTCGTACTAACCAAGAAGGATTTGAACGACGAATACTGGCCTCGGTTCGTTTTCATTGTCTTTAATCCAATGATTATTCCCCTCACATTTTCATCTCTGAAACACAAATGAGTATTCGTTGCTAAAGTTATTGAGCCTTCGATTTTATTCAACCCATGCTTTCTTTAGGTTGACGAAGGACAAAAGAGTTAACTTTGTCAAGACAGATTTCGCGCTTTGGGTCGATGAGGACGAACAAAATGGAGTCGCAGTCGATGAAGGCTTTGCCTCAACCGGTGCCCCACCTGGTGCAGGTAAGATATCATAAGGCTTAAATATAACTGATCGATATCACATCTCATAAGGAAGCTGAAATACCTGTTAAAACGATTTCATTGAACTTCAGGAATGGATATGGAAGCCATGATGGCGCAAATGGGTGGTATGTCTCAATGATTGGATTGAGTATAATCGGATGTATAAGCTGACAGGTATGTGAATCAGGTATGGGCGGTATGGGCGGAATGGGTGGAATGGGCGACATGGCCGGCATGGCTGGTATGGGCGGCATGGGCGGCATGGGTGGAGCAGGTGGAATGCCCACGCTAAGTGGAATGCAAGGCGCGGGTGGCGGCGGTGCTGATGGTACGTATCAAGCTCCCACTGGGTTGATGATCTTTCAAGAAATTCTATGATTCTCACTAATTACTTGCACAGGTATGGATCTTGAGAAACTTATGGCCCAAATGAAAGCGCGACGTAGCGAAGGGGCAGAGGATGATGGAAAAAGTGACGATTCCACCAGTAGCGACGAAATGCCTGCTTTAGATGTGAGTCCACGTTCTCTCACTCTTTGTTTTTTCTGCAACTATCGCATTAGCTCATTTGGACCCTGGTGCATCTTCCTAGGAGCCTGAGCAAGCTCCACCAGCTGCTGTAGAGCCTTCTCCAGAAGCAGCCTCGGCTTAATTGGTTTTGTAAAAAAAGATCCAAAAATAAAACATGGCACCGCCGTACTCGTTTGAATTGATTCAGGTGACTATGTCAGCTCCAGTGGCCTATCAACTCATACCGCTCCCTTGAAGAAGGCTCTGTGTAAAGGATATTCTTGTCCAACTATATAGCCTGTCCAATTGAGAGGGAACCTCTACTTTATATTTCTCTGCTATTTCTTTTGTTTTACCAATGAACCACATATCCTAGAATTCACAGATAGAAAATTTGCCTATCCAATCGTCCTCCATTGGCAAGGATCCCAGCCTGGTTAGTGAAGATGCGTCATCGGGTCGAAAACGAGCCCCGGTCCGCAAGAAACCCCGAAATGTTTCTATTGCATAGGTTCATTTCATTTCCGTTCTCTGTTTTCCTTTCTGCTCCATGTCTTTGCCTTTCTTACCAATACAGCGGATATCCCATGAAGACTTCCTGTGGACACCAATTCGAATGTAGCTTGAACGATCTTCGCTGTGAGGCCAAATGCAATCAGTTCTAATCAAATCTACGCAAGCTGTTAAAGTTTGAAGTGCCTGTCTAGTACCACGAATCTGGATCCTCGTGAACTACTTGAGCTGTTGTCATTTGAAAGCAATAAACGTCCGGCTGTCAATTGGCGCCTAGAAGTTAAGAGCATCGTGCTGGAAGTGAAATTTGTTTAACTGTGTTCGGTATTGAGGTTAAGGGGTCTTACTCCCTTACATACCAAGAACCGCAATAAGCTATAATTACAACCCTATCGCCCATTCCATACTCAATACCACTACCATCTTCAAGGCTATAACTGGACAGAAACACTAACGATGTTATGTATCCTACAGATCGCACAGCCTCACTCTTATCGTTTGCCTACAGCAAAATCTTATGGTGGTTGTCATCTGGGCAATCCGCTTTGAACAAAGAACAATGTGCGAAAGAACATCGTGTGAAGCCGGTGATCAGGCAGGCTCGATTGCTGGACTCTGGTGGTTGGTCTGATTATAATCTAAAAGGTCCATTCAACATTCTTTTTTAGCCAGTTCCAGAAATCAAATAGTTGGATTGTCTAGGATTTGCTCAGGCAGACCCACCCTTACCTGTATACATACTTTAAGGTCTTGCCAGGCCCGATTTCGCAAAGTTTTGGTGAATCCTTGGGATATGTATAATGTATTTGATGTCCATTTTAAATCATAGAACTCAGACAGACTCAGGCGAACTCCAGCATTAAAGTACATACACGAAGAGGCAGATGGAAGAATCTCGGGTTCATCAAGTACATAGACCGTCGTCAGAAACTGTCGGATGATTCATCACTTCTCCACTTGAACGTGTCGGACATTGTCTGACTATTTTATGGAAAGTTGTCATGAAGCTATGTACAAAGATTGTAACACCTTCATAAATGACCAAGTTGACCGACCTTCAGTTCCAGTCAAGCAGCTTCGTAGGATAATCGATTTCATCATCAATTGTTATCATGATCAACACAACACCCACCTCACACTTGGCGGAGGTTTGACAGACACCGAGACCTCATCTAACGCCGCGGACACAATGATGGTACCCTCATTAGTTTTGAAATAGAGGTGGACTGTGAAGCAGCAAATCCTGAGCCCTTTCAGTCTCTTCTCTTCTGTCCTACACATGCTACAGCGCTGAGATTTTCGACTTGATTGATACTATTCTCATACTTGGTTGAAGTCACATGGTCAGAGGGTATGTAAGCCGTCTACCAAATTTAAAAGCCTCAATAACAAACCTCATGCTGAACATTCATCACTTTGGCCGTACGTGCAAGTTTTCCTTGCAGTGGGAAATACTCTTTCAGGTAAATTTTTTGCAAGATGGGTGTATATTTTCTCTCCTGTTGAGATAATGTTTAGAATTTGATTATTTAGGTTCTTCAAATTGATCGCACTTATTATACAGAAGGAATAATTACGATTACATAGCATGTTTATTCTTTCTGATCCCGATTGCCAGCGTTTGTTTGAACTGGATGGTTGGCTCTGTGGACCCGGCGATCGAACTATTTTTTTGCAGCACCTGGCACCAGGCTGTGGGCATTTTAGCTTCAATTTGATGACTATTCGGCAGATCTATTTAAATACGTGACTTGCACTGTTGGATAGACCAGGGATTCCTCCAGAGACACCCTCGGCCCAGATCACGATTAATGGTCCGTGGAGGCAGGCCAGCCGGCGGGGCCAAGTTCCAACAAGCGACTTTGAGCAGAAAAGGATTTGATATCGCTGTATGCATGTCGGAGGCACATCGAGTAGCACTTTGCAACTCCAGCTTGTGTTCTTTCTTGAGCAGCCTGCAGTTGTTGATGTCGATGGATGATGGGACTGTGGGGTGTGCTGTGGTGGTCTAGTGCCATCCCACAGCATGCATCCGCCTGTGATCGCAGCATATATGTGTGCCAAGAGAGGCCAAGAGTACATATTTAGTGTGCTGCTCCAGCAGTTTCAAGTTGGCGAACTTTTGTATGTTAGTGCACCCCCAGTGGCAGTCACAGTCGTCCCACTTCCGAGCAGAAAGGACAATTTAACTATCGAACCTTGTCTTGGCTCCTTCATCGGTTACAAACACCGTCCCCTTCCAAATTACCGGCATCGTCCTCAACCCAGCTCAAGTTTCATTCTAATAAATCAATAAATAAAAAAATAAAAAAATAAAAAGATTAATACTATCAATATCTTTCCATCCATGGCCCATTCGGTTTGTGACGTCCAGACAGTCTCGATCCTAGGGAAACCTTCGATCCGGCTCGGCTACCACCTTGCCCCTTATATCGCCCATACCGTACTCACCGAACTGCATTCTTCGACCTATGTCCTCATCACCGACAGCAACGTTTCCCCACGACATGTGCCCGCACTCAAAGCTGCTTTCGAGAACCAACTGCCCAAGTCTGCCCGTCTGCTCACTTACATCCTTCCACCCGGCGAACAGAGCAAATCTCGAGAGATGAAGGCCGTCCTCGAGGATTGGCTACTCGATCACCGTTGCACCCGGGATACCGTCGTTCTAGCTCTAGGCGGTGGTGTGATCGGCGATCTGATCGGTTTCGTCAGTGCTACGTTTATGCGTGGGATCAGGTTTTGTCAAATACCTACCACCCTTTTGGCCATGGTCGATTCCTCTGTTGGGGGCAAAGTCAGTCATTCAATCCCATTGATCTCACACATGTATTTATATCAAAAAAAAAAAAAAAGAAAAGAAAAAGAAAAAGAAAAAAAGAAAAGAAAAGAAAAAAGGTTCTGATTGCCTACCCATTCAATATCATTCTTCGCTACCTCCTAGACTGCAATTGATACCCCACTCGGCAAGAATTTGGTCGGCGCATTTTGGCAGCCATCCTTCATCTTTATCGATGCGTCCTATCTGGAAACCTTACCCGAGCGAGAATTCGTGAATGGTATGGCGGAAATGATCAAAGTAAGTAGCCTACTCAACCTCTCCTTTCACCTAGATCTGCAATATTGGGCTATGCTGATCTCCTGATTTAAATAATCACTACAGACTGCTGCAATCTGGGATGAATCACAATTCGAAAATTGGAATCCAACGTCGATTCTATTCGATCAGCCGTCTTATCACCACCACCTCGGGATCCGATCAACCCATTTCCTGGCCGAGACCTTGCCAGTCGCTCTCAAGCACAGAAATTACTACTCCAAGTCATTGCCGATTCGGTGGGCGTCAAGTCAGAAGTGGTCACGAAAGATGAAAAGGAGACTGGACTCCGAAATCTGGTCAATTTCGGACACACGATCGGCCATGCTATCGAAGCTGTATTGACTCCTGCGATTCTCCATGGCGAATGTGTTTCGATTGGAATGATTCTAGAGGCTGAGGTCGCTCGTGCACGCGGCTGTTTATCCTCAAGCGCTATTGCCCGTCTAAGCAAATGTCTCAAGGCCCATGGCTTACCGGTCTCCTTAACTGATCCCAGAATCCTCAGCTCACCCAACGCCCCCAATCTTAATCTCGACCGACTCTTAGATCTAATGAGCGTGGATAAGAAAAACGAGGGCAAGATCAAGAAGATCGTCCTGTTGTCCAGGATCGGTAAAACCTTTGAAGAGCGGGCCACAGGTGTTGAAGATAGCCTCATCAGACGAGTCTTAGCTCCAGCGGTCCGAGTCCATCCAGGGCCACCCCCAGCCAACATCAAGGAAGTCACCCTCCGAACACCGGGGAGCAAGTCGATCTCCAATCGTGCATTGATCCTTGCCGCTTTGGGACATGGAACCTGTCGTCTCAAAAATCTCTTGCATTCGGATGATACTCAGGTCATGATCAATGCACTCGAAGAAATGAAAGGCGCTAGTTTCTCCTGGGAAGATAACGGTGCCACACTTGTGGTTTCTGGTGGGGCTGGTAAGCTCTCGGTGAGTCGTCAGATCGGATGATCATCAAACCTTTCAGTCTGCCTCAATACCATGCAAGTTATATGTAAATGTGTATCACTGATTGCTTTCCAACTCCATTTAGTCACCCGCGAATGGGAAACATGTGTATCTCGGTAATGCAGGCACTGCTGCAAGATTTTTGACGACCGTCTGCTCACTTGTCAAATCTCAAGTTTCGAATCAAAGCTCAACAGTAATCACCGGAAATGCAAGGATGCAAGAACGTCCTATCGGACCCCTTGTGGACGCTCTCCGTACTAATGGGGTTCAGATTGATTATCTGCGCAACGAAGGCTGCCTGCCTCTTCGAATAAGTCCTGAGGATGGCTTCCCCGGTGGAATGATCGAATTAGCGGCCTCCGTGTCATCCCAATACGTTTCCTCAGTCTTGCTCTCAGCCCCTTTCGCCCAAGCTCCCGTGACGCTCTCTTTGGTCGGAGGTACTGTGATCTCACAGCCATACATTGATATTACGATTTCCATGATGTCTACTTTTGGAATACAAGTCGAGCGTCTCAACAATCCAGCTACTGGGCTTCCTTCAAACACTTATCGGATACCCAACGGTACTTACAAGAACCCCCCGGTTTATGAGATCGAGAGTGACGCAAGTAGTGCAACATACCCGCTGGCCATGGCCGCCTTGAACGGTCTTAGTATCACTTTGGAAACTATTGGCTCTGGATCCCTTCAAGGCGACGCTCAATTTGCCAAGAAGGTGCTGGAGCCTATGGGATGTCAGGTGATTCAGACGGAAAGAGAGACAAAGGTTATCGGACCCAGCACTGTCTCCGAATTACGACAACTTGGGGAAATCGACATGGAGGAGATGACCGATGCTTTCCTGACTGCTTGTGTTGTACTTGGTGTTGCGGTTCAGCCCTCGGAAAAAGAGCAAAAAATGTCCACCAGGATCATTGGAATTGCCAATCAGCGAGTCAAGGAATGCAATCGAATCGCAGCCATGGTGGCCGAATTAGGCAAGATGGGTATTCATGCTCAGGAGCTTGAAGATGGGATCGAGGTGTTTGGCACACCGGTCGATGCGCTAGCCAAACGTGGCGATCAAGTCCGTATCAATTGTTATGATGACCATCGAATTGCGATGGCCTTTAGTGTCCTGGGAACGGTCCCTGGCGGTAAAGGCTTGATCCTCAACGAAAAACGGTGTGTCGAGAAAACGTGGCCCAGCTGGTGGGATGATCTTTCGACCAAACTGGGTATTCAGCTCGATGGAGTCCCTGCTCATGAGAAGCTAACTAATACGACTTCGGCAGTCGCATGGGAAGCTAAGAAACCAGAAACTCCATCCATTGTGAGTAAAGAATACGATCTATGTTTATTGAGCAAGTTGACTGACCATTTCGCTTGATTAATTCAATCCTTAGCTGTTGTGCGGAATGAGAGGATCGGGTAAATCTTTCTCGGGTCAAGTGGCAGCCAGCACTTTAGGCTGGCCGCTAATCGACACGGACTTGTACTTTCAAGAAAAGTGTGGCTGCTCGATTCGTGAATTCATTCAAAAGAATGATTGGTCGCACTTCCGAGAAGAAGAGTGCGCTGTACTCAAAGAGATCCTGAAGGAGTTTCCTTCTCGTCATGTTATCTCACTCGGTGGAGGAATCGTTGAAACCGAGAAAGGGAGGAAGATGTTGATGGATTACGCCAACTCAAAAGGCCCGGTGGTTGAGATCATCAGACCGGTGGAAGAAGTGATTGCATACCTCAACGAAGATGGCAATCGACCCAGTCTTGGCGAATCAATCGAACAAATTTGGGCACGTCGAGAACCTTGGTATCGACTCTGCTCGAACTCAGAATATTTCAACCTCGTTCACCCAACTATTGATCATGCGCTCATCTCAGAAGTTCAACACGCCAAGCGGGCTATGCGACAGTTCTTCCGGTTCATCACTGGCGTTGACACAAACCATGTCTTACTTGATCCCCCAGTACCCCGGAACACCCATTTCCTTTGCCTCACATTCCCTTCCTTGAGCCCTTGTCGAGAAGAAGACAAGAACATCCTTGACCGCTTCGAAGAGCTTACCGTTGGATGTGATGCAGTAGAGTTGAGGGTAGACCTTCTATCGACATCTGGCAAAGCACCTACCAGCCCATCCATTCCGCCAACTGAATTTGTGGTCAAGCAGGTTGCAGCATTACGCAGACTAACCACTCTGCCGATCATCTATACGGTTCGAACGTGCTCCCAGGGCGGGATGTTTCCGGATGGCCAACCGGAGGAATGGTGTAAATTGGCTGCGATGGGTTTTAGAACTGGTTGTGAGTATGTGGACATCGAGTTGGGTCTTTCGCCGGAGCAACAGAAAGCGCTATGCAGCCAGAAGGGTCATTCAAAGATCATCGCCTCCTACCATGACTTTTCTGGTCGTTTGAAGTGGGACTCCAGCGAGATGATCCAGCGTTATCACGAGCTGAAGGCCTATGGTGATATGGTCAAGTTGGTCTCCCGGGCAGCCGATGGATTGGAAGATAACCTGGCCATGCTCGAGTTTAGGAAGAAACACGCGACTCTTCAAAAGGACCGACAGTCACTGATCACCATCAACATGGGAAGATCCGGACAGATGTCTCGGATTCTGTCTCCGGTTCTAAGTCCAACCACTCACCCATTATTGCCCGGTCCCCCAGCTGCACCCGGACAACTATCCTTCCGCCAGATCCAAACGGCCCAGGGACTGTTGGGACAGATCATCCCGAAACAGTTTTGGTTATTTGGAGCTCCAATCGGTCAATCCCGCTCACCCTTGATCCATGGAACTGGTTTTGATACCCTTGGTCTTGAAGGTTATCGGTACCAGAAGTGTGAGACCAGCTCGGTGACTGACAGTACTGTCTTGGAGAAAATCCATGCGAGCGACTTTGGAGGGGCCTCGGTTACGATCCCGCTCAAGGTGGAGATTATCAAGTATCTCGATCAATTAACACCCGATGCTCAAGCCGTTGGTGCAGTCAATACGATTGTTCCGGTCTCTCAACGCAATGGGAAGATCAAGCTGCTAGGAGCTAATACCGATTGGGAAGCGATCAAGACGAAGATCGAGGCTAATCTACCGGCACAACAAGCATTAGGATTGATCACTCCCAGTCAATTAGTCAGGGCAGCAGGCGTGGTCATTGGTGCGGGGGGCACAGCTCGCGCAGCGGTCTATGCACTGCATTCACTTGGGTATGAGCAGATCTATATCCACAACCGGACGCGATCCAAAGCAGAAGAGGTTGCGAAGGCGTTCCCGAGTTATTTTGGGATCCGGGTGATTGACAGTCTTGGGTTCCTGTGTTCAGGGGAAGAAGGGGTATGGCAACCTTCAGCCATCGTCTCAGCTGTGCCGGCCCAGGCAACCCGTCTGTCAGACGACCCGCCCTCCGACAGACTTGAGATCCCCCGCGGCCTCTTCGACAGACCCGGCGGTGGGGTGGTGATCGAGATGAGCTACTCTCTTGGGAAGGACTCGCCGCTCTTGAGAGCCGTCCAGGATCTCGTCGGCTGGAAATCTGTCGATGGACTCGAGCTCTTGGTCGAACAGGGCGCAAGACAGTTTCAGCTCTGGACTGGAAAACACCTCTCAATGAAGATCGTCTCTCAAGCCGTCTATCAGGAGGCTTCTTCTGATTAGTTTTCTTGCTTCTTTGTTCCTCTCTTCCTCTGCCTGCTCAATTTTTTTTGTTTTCTCATTCTTATGTTTCTCCTTTTCTTGCAAAAAAAAATAGCTTATTGAAATAGAGTTTCCATCCTTTTGCTTTGGTTATTTTCTTGTGTTTCCTTTCCATTTCTGTTTGATATTCATTTTCATTTTCATTTTCATTTTCTTGATGGTTTGTTATGAATTCATGTGGTTGTTGGCCAAAAACAACCACTTAATAATGTCAGAAAAAAAAAGAACAGCTTAGCACATGATATCAACATTTGAAAGTTAGGATCAGACCATGTTTTTGTGATTGATCATTTAATAACAATATCTGGGCAGTGTTATTCCCAATTTAGAGTAAGAGACTATATGCCATGCCAGATAAATGAATATCACATACAGTAGTTATTCAAAAAGATGAAATTGATCTGTGAAGACATGGATCAGTTTTGAGAGGCCTGTGTTCAGTTAAGAGACTGAGATTGAAGTTGGAACGATGGATTGAGTAGGTAGCTTGATCCCAGGCAAGGCAAGTCAGTAGAAGTCGGCTGGTTTATACAATACATATTAACCTGTTTGTTGTCAGCATGACATTTGATTCTTTTTTTACACTGGAGCTTTGGTCACAGGATTGTAAATGAAGAAAAGTGGCGTGCAGAGACACACTTACTAAATCAATCAACATTATCTGAACAGATAGATCCCTCTGTGCTGATCACTAGTTTGGATGTTAGCTTGAAGGACAAACTGTTGAGTTTTTCACTCCTCTGGTCTACTCCTTCCCAAAAACTCCCTCTTTTCCCTTACTTTACTTTTTCTTCCATTTATCTTTCTTGAATCTTCTTGATCTAGACTGAGGCATTGTAGTCTTTCACTGCTGGTTTTAGTGTTGAATCTTATGCACTTCTTGGAGTCTAATTAGAACTATCAATAGCAATTTTATCAACAACTCCTGTCTTTCTGATTGATTCCTTTCTTTTTCTAGTTCACTATTTGATTCTTTAAAAATCTGATGGGGCTTGGTTAAACAACTCCCAAAAAGTGGAGAGCCAACTCTCAAGCCCCGGAATCCCCGAATTTTGGGAGTCAAACCCCCAAAACCTTCGACTGGTTTGGGAGTCGACTCCCAAAAAATATATATATATATATATATAAACCATCCCCCAGTCAGTTTAGGAGTCGATCCTCCAAAACCAACCAGGGTTTGGGCCCTGGGGGTCAACAAAGCAAAAGACCCACGGAAGCGGCCGGGAGGATTCTTCCCGGCCGCTGGGAGTACACTCCCGACTAGAGATGGTCGCAGATAATCCGTTGCAGATATCCGTTATCCGCTGGCGGATACCCGCCAGTGCCAACGGATACCCGCCAGCGGGTGCGGATTCGGGTGCGGATGCCCCCTTCCCCCTGGAATGCTGGTGGATATCCGGGTATCCCAAGGGATATCCGCCCATACAGGAGGCCTTGGGAGGGCCACAGGCTGTGAGAAACAAAAGAAAAAATGGAAAAAAGGAAAAATAAAAGAAAAAATGGGGCCTTAACAAAAAAAACATGGTTTTTGCTGCGCGCACTGCGCAGCAGACACATTTTTTAATTAATTTTTTACTGCTTGTTTTTTATTATTTTTTGAAATTTTAAATTTATTTCTTATGTTTTAAAGTGTGTAGAATTTAATGGTAAAAAGCATTTTACATAAAAATTGATGTTTCTTTTTGAATAATGCAATTAGACACATTTTTTCAATTAATTTTTGACAGATTAATAATTAATTTTGGGCCTTAATAAAAAAACGCGGTTTTTCCGCGTTTTGACGCGGTTTTGATGCGCCGCAGCACACGCGGTTTCCGCTTTTAGACGCGGTTTTTTAATTAATTTTTTATGGGTTATTTTTTGAGTTTTTTTGAATTTTTAAAGTTGTTTCCTACAATATAAAAGGCGTAGAATTTAATGGTAAAAACCATTTTTTATAAAAATGAATTTTGATTATTAATTATTTTTTTTCACTCATCTCTCAATTAATTGTTTGCATACATGTATGTACCTTATTTCTTATGCTTTTGTGAAATTTTAAAATTATTTCCTAGGTTTCAATGTGTGTAGAATTTAATGGTGCAATCCAATTTTTTTAAAACTCAACGGTTCATTTTGAATACTGAAATTAGACCCATTTTTTCACTTAATTTTTTACAGCTTAATTCTCATCATTTTTTGACATTTTAAATTTATTTCCCACACTTTAAGACATGTAGAAAATGATGGTAACAACCATTTTTCCCCAAAATGAAAACTATACCTTGAATGCCGCATTTGACACGTTTTTTTTAATTAATTCATCACTTTTTCACTTAATTGTTTGCATACATGCGTGTACCTTATTTTCTATGCTTTTTTGAAATTTTAAAGTTGTTTCCTACATTTAAAAGTGTGTCAAATTTAATGGTAACATTCAATTCCCATAAAACTCAACGGTTCATTCTGGATACTGTAATTAGTCATATTTTTCAATTGATTTTTAAGAGCTTAATTTTTATTATTTTTTGACATTTTAAATTTGCTTCCTACACTTTCAAACATGTATAAAATTATGGCAACAATGAATTTTCATCAAAATGAAAACTATATCTTGAATAATGCCTTTGACGTGTTTCCTGAATTAATTCTTACACGCTCAATTATCCTTATTTTTTGGAATTTCAAGCTCATTTCCTACACTTTTCAAGGTTTCAAGATTGATGGCTGTATCCATTTTGCATTCAAATAAAATTTGTATATGGTACAAATTATGCAAGAAACAGGGTACACTCATCTATTAAGATTGAAGCTTGTATTTTGAGTGAAATTGGACTTCACCATTCAATTCTAAACATTTGTAAATGTAGGAAATAAATTTAAAATAAAAAAAATGCTTAAAATCAGGCCGGTAAAAATCAATCAAAAAAACATTAAAAAAAGCCTGTCCACTGCAGTATTCAGTAACAAGCGCTGATTTTTATGTAAAATGGTTGTTACCATCATTTTTATCATGTATTAAAGTGTGGGAAACAAATTTAAAATGTCAAAAAATAATGAAAATTAAGCTCTTAAAAATCAATTGAAAAATATGACTAATTACAGTATCCAGAATGAACCGTTGAGTTTTATGGGAATTGAATGTTACCATTAAATTTTACACACTTTTAAATGTAGGAACCACTTTAAAATTTCAAAAAAGCATAGAAAATAAGGTCACACACGTATGCAAACAATTTAGCTGTGAAAAAGTGTTGATTAATTAAAAAAACGTGTCAAATGCGGCATTCAAGGTATAGTTTTCATTTTGGGGAAAAATGGTTTTTCCCATCATTTTCTACATGTCTTAAAGTGTGGGAAATAAATTTAAAATGTCAAAAAATGATGAGAATTAAGCTGCAAAAAATTAAGTGAAAAAATGGGTCTAATTTCAGTATTCAAAATGAACCGTTGAGTTTTAAAAAAATTGGATTGCACCATTAAATTCTACACACATTGAAACCTAGGAAATAATTTTAAAATTTCACAAAAGCATAAAAAATAAGGTACATACATGCATGCAAACAATTAATTGAAAAATAAGTGGAAAAAAAAAATTAATAATCAAAATTCATTTTTATGGAAAATGGACTTTACCATTAAATTCTACACCTTTCATAGTGTAGGAATAAATTTTAAAATTTTGAAAAAACTCGAAAAATAAGCCGTAAAAAATTAATTAAAAAACCGCGTCTAAAAGCGGAAACCGCGTGTGCTGCGGCGCATCAAAACCGCGTCAAAACGCGGAAAAACCGCGTTTTTTTATTAAGGCCCTTAATTTTCATTATTTTTTGACATTGTAAATTTTTTCCCTTAATTAATTTTAATTAATTTTGCCAGCTTAATTTCCATCATTTTTTGAAATTTTGAATTTATTTACTACACTTTGAGTAGTGTCAAAGCTTATGGTATCATTTATTTTGACAAGAAATGAAAGCTTCAATCTTAATATATGAGTGTACCCCATTTATTACATAATTAAATTATACAAATTATGATAATTTGTACCGTATACCAGTTTTATTTGTATGCAAAGTTGATATAACCATCCATTTTCAAAAAATAATGAAATTTAATCCTGTAAAGATTTACATGAGTTAGCTGCAAGAAACAAAAAAAAATTGCAAAGGAAAAAGGAATTAGATTTTTTCCATATTTTTGGGAGGGTCACAGGCTGTGAGCAACAAAAGAAAAAAAATAATAAATGAAGAAAAACAGGTTTTATAATTGAAACTAGAACCAAAACTTGAAACACAAGAAAAAACAATTAGACAAGAGAACAATAAAATGTTAAACAAAAAGAAGGAGAAAAAAATAGCATACCACGATAGTTGTGTTTGAAAGGAATCAGAACAGACAGACTGAGATAAAGTAGATCAAAGAGAGACAGATAGTACGTGCTTTTTCAGAAAAGAACAAGATATGAATTAGGTCAATAAGAGATACGATCAAAGTGAGTTAAAATAGATCAGTTTTGTTTTCTCACCAAATTGGCAATAGCCAAGAGACGATTTTGAGAGAGAGAGTCGGAGCGATTAGAATGGGTGAAGATCGATATGAATAGAAGTCGAGGTGGAGTCGATATTGATAGGATTGTTCAATGAGAGAGAAGAGAGACAAGAGATAGATGAGAAAAGAGAAAAGGATACGAGGTCGGAAGGGGAAGTTGAAGAGTGGGTTGTAGAGGTGAATGCCGGGCAGTTTGGCTGATTGGGGATTGTGGATTGAGATCGAAGATCGATGACTGTCGTCGGATGCGATAGTGTAAGACTGCCTGAGGGAGAAGTGAAGTATGGAGAGAGCGAGAGTATTTAAGTCGTTCGATGTTCGGTTGACTTGTGGGTTAGGTCTTGAGATGAATCGGTGTTGAGGCTTGAGTTGTGGTTGATGTATGAGACGAGTATGAGGATAGGATGGGGGAGGAATGATTGGAAGAATTAGGAATAGAGAAAAGCAGAAGAGTGAGAATAAAGAGAGAAAAGAAAAGATAAGAAACGGAGCACAGAGCGGATAGAAGAATGAGAGCGCGGTGCGGAGAAGAAAGAAAGAGAGTGCAGAGCGGAAGCGGAAAGCGTCGGATTGGGATAATTCCAACAATAAAAAATAAAAGAAATAAGGGGATTAATAAACGTACCCCCCTTTTCTGCTATCCACACCCGGTTTTTCACACCTGGTTTTCTGCTTCTACACCTGGTTTTCCCCAGCCTTTTTAATTCATTTTTTGGCAATTCTGAATATGCTAAAAATCTTCTAAAATTGATCATTCTTTTTGAGTATATAGAAAATCCTCAAAAAAGAA